CGCCGGATCGATACATATGCTTTCTTCGTCGCGTAGTCTTTCGCCGAGAAGGAAGTGAATAAAATTAAGTTTTAACATACCTGCGTGTAGGTTTTGTGCTCAATGAGCTTCTCAGTGGCCCGATGAAGCAACCCAATATGAGGAATCGCTTTTATGATAACCTGAACGACCAAAGATGAATACCAACTTCGAAGCCGCTGTTACCAACCGGCTCTCCATTTCTCCATACATGTGAAAACGAATTGACAACTCACTTCTCCTTCCAATTTTAACACAAGACGAAGCACTCCGTGAGCTGCTGGATGCTGGGGACCGAAAATTCAATATCATGTTCTCGAGTTCCTTCTCACTGAAAACATGCACTCGAATGAGAACCTTATACTGAGTTAATCAGCAACTACTGGTACACTTAGGCTATCATACTTTACCGCAGCGTCCACAAGCGCCCACCAGCGTACGGCGGCGTTACGAGCGAACCAGCGCTAGCGATCAGTAGTATAGATATCGATATTGCGAACACCCGCTTCCGCAAGCGTCCACCAGCGTACAGTTTTCGCGAGCACTTTTGAACTTCTGCAAAAGTTCCGCAAAAACGTTGGCGTATGCTGGCGTTCGCTCGCAACACTGCCATACGCTGTGAAAGCTGGTGGATGCTGCAGCGAAGTATGAACGCAGCCCTACAAATACATTTCTCAATAAAGTTTTTTCAGTTAGTAATGGGGACATAATGGTAAGCATTTTATAGAGGAAGGGGTGCTCTGTAAATCGCGCCACGTCTGTCTCTCACGCCTACGCGACTTATGCCGCATCAGTCGACATCCACGCCGTTATGCCTCTTCCTTATATCTGCCCTCAGCCTTTTTTTTTGTCCCATCAGCGTAGGGTTTGAAAAGAGCACTTGCCGATCACCAATCAGCCACCGTTCAACCCTTGAAGTTTCCCAGTTTGTAAGACAAACCCCGCGATTGCGTTCTGTGAGTAGAAGTGTTCATTTACAAACCTTCAGTAGTTATACGGCTCCCCAGGGAAGAAAATTTAAACAAAAGACATGGAGAACACCCTAGGGAGCCCCTCGCAGCCTACCTGCACGAGTTCTCTGAACCTGCATTGTTTGTGCCAGCAAAGCGACACCCGTCCGCCTCGTAGTTGTCTCTTCGGAATGCTGATACCATATAAAGGTGAAAAAAAACGAAAAAAAAATTCAGCGTGAAAGCAAAATCAAAACAGATTTGCAGATTCGATGGGCGGAACAACTACGGAGGCTTCAGAACTGCCACTTATGAGTGCCGCAGCGCTATCGTTATTTACTGGGTTCGCGAAAGTGGAGCCAATTCAGAGATTGAGGGCCAGACCAATCGCACAATGAAGGACCCCTGCGAATTGATTGAGTGTGGGGAAATTCTTCAAGGATCAAACTCAAATGTGAAAGGATATTACTAACTTTATAGTATCAAAAGTAACGATGAGAAATCTTAGCCAGCTATCATAAAGAAATATCAAAAAAGACAATAAACATTTCCAACGCACCGACGCTTGCCGTCAAAGTCATCCGCATATAAAGGTGAATTATATGCAAATTTTTCCACCTTATCCAATCCAATAGCTTTGTCGTATTCCTCATAGTGATCGCTGGTCCACATTCTCCCAATGTATGAATTCTAGAACATGTCGCTGAATAATGACCCCAGATCCTGGTGGTTGTATAATCTGATTCGCCGTGGATGACGAGACGTGTTCGCGCGGCTGCGCTTGGCGCGACGCCAACTGTTTTTTTATCAAGCGAAGCGACGGGACTGTGCCATGTATCGTACCTATCTGTAATTTTTTTTTACCAGTTGTTGTCACTTACAGGTTAACACCGCGCCAAACGCGTCGCGCAAACGTCCCCCGTCATCCGCAGCAAATCAGACTGAACGATGTGCT